GCAGCGCATTGCCAGGCAGCCCTCAGAAACAGCAGTGGTAGTCCTGGCAGGTAAGGGTGCAAATGCAGCTTTCAAAATCCTGCTTTTCAGGAACACAGAATTCAAGCTTGCAGTGCACTTGTATCTCCTTCTAGCATTCAAGCGTGTGCCTAACATCTTCAGTTCAGCCCTGATCAAGAACCACAGTCATAATTCAGCTTGTGAAAGTTTGACACTAATCCCTGTGTATCCTTTCTAGGTGAATCGAGCCCTTGCCGACCCAGAAGATCCAGGGCAAGTAGCAGTGATGCACTATGTCCTTCCATCAGTGGAGAGCTCATAGGGAGCACGAATCGCTGCAACTCCAACAGCAGCCTTCCATGTAACAACCGTAACAGCAGTGATGGAGTGAAGGAGCTCATTGAAGTTTGTGCCCTCATTACACCTGGCTCTGCTGAAGGTGCTGACCTGAGCCTGCCAGACACCACAGTCATCAGTGCAGATTGTAACCCAGTGTCTCTGCAGTGCATCCCATCGCAAGCACAGTCTGAGTGCCCCGAAAGCAGCACCTCCATGCAGGAACAGGCCAGGATCAGTGAGGAGGAGCAGAACCTCTTGGATGGGGACTTTCAATCAGGCCTCCAGTCCCAGGCACCGGACAGCAGCACAAGCTCTGAGCCACTCTCTCCATGACAAGAGAGGATGAGTGCCATCTTTACCTTGGGCCTCTCACGCCCTCCTGCCTTTTATATAATAATAAAAGCACACTCGTGCTCAATCAACGCCTTGACTGTCTCTGGAGTATTCATTCACACGGATTGGGATGAATGCAACACACAGCAAGACACCTCAGCTTGCAATGCTGTGGCTGTGGGGTGCGTGCCGCAGAGCTCCGGGTTTGTTCCCATTTTGTCTGGCTTTGGGATGTCTGCAGAGAGAGAGAGATCTCTGCTACCATTTGGTCTGGTAGCAAATAATCTCTCGCATCCTGGATGCTGCTCATGATAATCCCATGCTTCCTGGCTGTGGCTTTGTGATGCTTTTCAGGGCTTTTTGATACATTTTCATGCTTTGGCTGTTCCTTAACACCTCCCCCCTCCCACCATGTCCTTTCCTGGCTCCCATCTACGTGGGATGCCAGTGCAGATCATCTCCAGACCTGTCATCATCACACTGCGCCAGGAGAAGCTCACCTTGACCAACGTCAGGCAGTACTGCTTGGTCTGCAGCTCAGTGGCCATTTCCCTTTTAGGCGGCTGTTGCAGAAGAATCAAGCAGCAGAACCTTTTGCTCACTCTGGAGCACACAAGTGATACAAAAGAAGAGACAACCTGGGAATCTCTGGGTCTGCAAGACTGCACAGACACTCACTGACTGTGTTTGATGCTCCCTCCCATCCTTGGTTTCCTTCTCCCCTCCTCCTTGTCTGATCCCACTGCTGAGCCATGATCAAGCACCCCAGTGTCGCAGAGCATCATGCAGAGCCGTGCTGGGAACTGCTCCCCTTCCCCTCCTGCAGCTCGGCGTGCAACCTCACCTGCTTCTCTGCTGATCCCACACGTGCCATCGAGATGCTCTGGCGCAGGACGTGCCTCTAACCCAAAGCTCCTTCCCACCCTCCCAAGAAAAAGCAAACCAACCACACCGCCACCAGCACAACCCCGCTGCAGACAGCAGGGAATGCCAACAGCTTCACGCTGCTCCCCTTCACTCCCATCCCAACTGTGTGCACATGGATAGGTGGAAGGATGAGGTTGCAGGCTGACCTCTGCTGAGGTGAGTGAGGGCTCACCGTGTTGCTCTGTGGTAGATTTGTTCATATTCAGTGCTAACAAAAAACTCACACGACACTGAAGGCCTTGCAAAAGTCTGGCAGGTGTTGTCAGTTGCTCTTCATTTTCCCACTGATGCTGTCACTCCATGGTAGAAGGCCACCAAATTGACCAGGCTGCACGTCTCTGTTTCCACTGTTTCTGCATTTCCTTCTTGTTGATCCCTGTAACCAGCAGTTTCAGCCATGGTGGTTTCCTGCCTCCTCTGCTTGATTTCATGTGGCAGAGATGGAGAGCTGTTCAGTTCTGAGAAAGTTTTTCTGAAAAAGTGACCAGCTCTTTTCCATCCCTTTGCCCCTAAAAACAGTTGTCCAGGGGAAGATATAAGAATGAATGTGGTTTATGGCTCAATTTATGCAGTATCATGAGGGCTGATGCACCAAAATCTGTGTTTGGACATCTCTCCACATTTCTGTTTCATTGGTGTCACAGAAGAAATGCTCCCGAGGGATTTGGCATAACAACGTATGATCTTCCATGTCAGTGTAGGAAAGTCTTTTCATTCTGCGGGAGCAAAGAGAAAGAAAAGCTATGAGAAGAATAAAATCTCTACTATGCTGGAATTCTTGTTCCCAGTTTTACCAAACACTAAGTCATTATGAAAAGAATAAAATGTAATGAGAAATTCTACATTTGTCCCTGTATTCAGACTTTGAAAGTCATATTGATGCTCATGCTTTCCTTGATAGAGCAATTTCCTTGATAGAGCACTGGCTCTCAGCCCCAAGATGAAGAGGTGTTTTCTAAACATTTTCTTATTTTTCCCACTGGGCCCATTGGTCTAACTTGAAATACATCCTCAAAGCACTTTTCCCTCTTAAGTATGTTTCCAGCCAGCTTCTCAGTCTATGAAATTTAGGGATTTGACCTGATTTGAACCTTAACGTAAACCTTTTGAGACTTGCCCATCACTGTTTACGTTGTTTTTGTAAAATAAACTCAAGGCTATTCAATTAATCGTTCACTGTTTTAATCTCCAAACCCAGGTAGATTAATGCCTATGCTGACCACAGATCAGTGATTTCTGGAGTCTTCTGCAGAGCAGCACATCTGTAGTTAAAAGTTCTGAGTTTCCTTAGAAGGAAAGAAAGAAAGAATGAATAAACAAAAGAAGGAAAGAACAAACGTTCTCAGGAGGAACTTTTCAGTGATCAATTCACAAGAAAAGAAAAACATGTTATTCTCAGCAATGAAACAATGTACTCTATGCCTGCCACAGTGATTAATAACGTGCTATAACTAGAGCATATTTAACGGGCTCTATCACTTTTAGGCCAAAAGCTTAAATCCTTCAAATATGACGAGAAATGCTCTAACAACTTTTTCAAACTTGAAGAAACAAATGTAAGCTGTTGAATTGACACCAATTATTTTCTCCACAAGAAAACCATCGCTGTGAAGAGCACCCAAATAATATGGCAGAGGTTTAGCAGTGCAGGACTCATTAAAATCCTAAGGCTCTAGAGCAAGTAGAACAAAAATTTACAGAAGTCAAGGCAGAAGGGATCTGTAAGTTATCCTGTTGCTAAATTTTATGCACACAGCAGTGCAGAAGAGGAAGGATTTTTTCCCAGCCTGAATTAAATCTCTCAGGTGAAGCTCTGCCTTTCTTCTGACTCCAAGTGATATAAATACAGAGCTGGAAAATGAGTTTTGTCTGCCTGTTGTGTCTAAGAGAGGTGGTAAATTCCTTCTAGAAACAATGAGATAACGTGATAATGTTGATGTCTATAAGCATTCAGGAGGGGAAAGACAACATCCTCAGTTACACTTCATAGTATCCGTATGTTGAGTTGAGCAGAGGGAAAACTGTGAACCTGAAGTACTCAGCCAATGAGGCACCGGGGAGGGAAAGAGAAGCATCAGGTAACAGGGCATAAAAGATGTGATGCTATTTCTGCAGGAGCCCTTCTGCTTGCAGGACACCCAGCACTGCAACTGCAAATAAAATCTGCTTTTATCAGAGATACCATCCTGATACATTATCTGGATATTTCCCACAGTGCTAAGCAAAATAGACTTGGTCTGATGTTTAGCATGCTTGACTGAACAACACTTGCTTTCACAAAACCAACTAATGCTAAGCAAAACACACACTGGGTCTGCTGATAAGCAAAACATCCTTCAGCTACTCAAGAAGCCCAGTATATCATTGTTATCTAAGTCAGTGTGGAGGCCCTGTCCAGTAGATCACCCTGAAACTACCAACCTGGAGCATCTCAGCGTGCTCTGGGATGCCCCAAAGGCCTCCCCTTGTACTCTAAAGGACTCCCAAGATACCCTGCTGTACTCTAGGCCACACTAGAGTTCTCCCAAAGCTTTTTACTGTCTGCTAGAGTGCTCCAGTGTCCTCCCAGTACACACTGGAGGCTTCCCAGTGCTACTTGCTATTTTGTAGGGCACCCTGGAGTCCTCCCAGTGCTCCTCTGTCTGCTCCAGGGTGCCCTAAGATGCCTGCAAAATGCTCTCACTGTATTCCGGGGAACATTAAGAGTACTGTCAGAGCTCCTCAGTGGTTACTTGGCTGCTCTTCAGGTTGCACGGCGTGCCCTAGAAGCTTCCAGGAACGTTGCACTGGACCTGAGCACACTCTGAAGTACTCCCAGGTCCTAGCAGCCTACTTGTGAAACTTGCAGGCTTCCTAGGGACACTCAATTTCTTGGGCACCCTGGATTACTTTCCAAGTCCCCCTCGTTGATGGAGGGCACCCTAGGCACTTCCCAGAGTGCCATAAATCACAGAATCCCCCTGCTGGAGCAGGAACACCCACATCTGGTCACACAGCAACGCATCCAGGCACGTTTTGGATGGCTCCAGAGGAGACCCCACAACCCTTCTGGGCAGCCCATTCCAGTGTTCTCTCACCCTCAGCGAGAAGTTTTTTCCCACATTTATGTGGAACCTCCTCTGTTCCATCTTGCACCCATTGTCTCTTGTCCTACTATTGCATGTCACTGAGAAGAGCCTGGCTCCATCCTCCTGCCATGCACCCTTTACATAGTTACCCCTCAGTCACCTCCAAACCAAAGAGCCTCCAAGAACCCCACAGTGTACTGCAGCTCACAACATCATCCTACCAAAACTCCTCTGTGTCCTCCAGGATGTCCAAGAAGTTTCCAGGTTAATCCCAGATGCTCCCCAGGGCCACCCTAAATACTCCCTGAGACAGTCTGTGTCCTCTTTTGACAGCACCTATCTTCAGCCTGAGAATTTTGGTCTTTTGCCCCTTTTGACATGGTGATCTTTTGAACTTGGATCCTGCACCCTTACACACAGGACAAGGAACAGTAAGCCTAATGGTTACCAACTGAAAAAGCACTCGAGGGACAGCAGAACAGGAGGGAAAACAGGCTTGGCTGCAGGGAATGCATACAGATACAATAATAAAACAAACAAACAAAAAACAGCAAGCAGAGCAGAGGGACAGAAAAAAAAACAGAGATGAATGGTTCCTCAGTTTACAGCTACGAAATTCAACTTCAGCAGAAACTCAAAGGCTCACAGACTCCACAGGATGGCTGAAGGACCATCACCCCATCTGTCTATGTCAGTAAGTTTTCCTGCTGCAGAGGGTCTGAGAACAAGGAAGGGAAAGTGACACTGCAGACACATCAGGGATAAAGCAAAGAAGGACAAGAGAATGGAAAAACTGCCCTTGGTAGGGGCAGCTGGAATAGTGGGGATGTCCTTGCAGGCTGTGTCCCACTCTGTCCTTCGGGAGCTGGCACCTCTTGGGTCTCATCTTCTTTCCTTTGCTGGTGGAGAAGAAACAAAGGCCTACTGTGGAGCCACAAGGCAGGAGAGATGCAGAAGAGGAGAAGAGAAAAAAGGAAAAGCAGCTTGGCTAAAGAAATGCTTCACCCGTCAGCAGGGCTGTGGACCCAGCTGGTTTGGGCTGTGAATGGCCCTGTGAGCAGGGCTGGGTCTTTGTGCTTTCTGTCTTTTGGCCT